TACCTACACACTCCCCACACAAAAGAAGGAGCTGACTAAATGTGTCCACACTCAGGGACTGTGATGTAAGCGTGCTTGTTCTGTGGTGGTTTGCAGGTGGAGACAAGAGAGAAGACCTGGTGCTGTTACTGAACCAAGGTTCTCTTGGGCTGCCATGTATCAGTTCTGTACAATATGACTTAAACTAAGCATTTAATTTTGGCATTAAACTTAGGCTTTTGTTTTGTCATGCCTAAAATGAGATATGCATTAGAAGTTATTCCTTAGTTCTTTACTGTTAAAGGAAATGAAGTTTTAGGGTTTTTAAGTACCAGGAAGTCTATTAAGATAGGAAACAACTAACTGAAGAGAAGTTAAGTGACTTTAGGGTGTCCCTACCGAAGGTTTTCCTACCCCGCCTCCCAGTCAGCTAGGATTCTAGGCCTGTGCATTAGCTCCTACCATGTTCATGTGGCCTGGGAACTAAACCCAGGCCTCCAAGTGGCTTCCAGCCCCTCCAGAGGTGGCACCACATCTATTCCAAGACTCATGGAAATTAACTAGCAATCTGAGTAAGAAAGATCTGAACTATTCGACTATCATAGACAATTGCGGTCAAATGTACATCTTACGTGGGCTACAATTGAATTCAACTTTATTTTTTAGCTTTCACTGGATAATACTTTTTGAATAAAGTTGCATTTACATCTTCTTGAGTCAATTTTGGTTGTTTTATTTTTACCAGAATACCATTCATTTAATTCATAACTTTAAATGTATTTATAAGAATAATGGTAGGACCTCTTTCAAGTAATTTAGCTTTTAAAATTTAGGTATACAGAGGTATAACAAAAAAAAATTAAACTTTCATGTATACAGTGTGATAGATTTTTTAGCAAAATACTTACAGTCATGTAACCTATCAGGTCAAGGCATCGGGCGTTCCTGCCACCCTCCCCCTCAGCCCCTGGCAACCACCAATCTGATTTCCGTTTTGCTTTTTTCCAGGACGCCGTAGTATCACTGCACTTATCTTTATTGCATTCTTACTGTTGGTTTCCTTAGTTTCCTTTTTAAAAGTTGTTGACATTCTAATTGTTTTGCATTCAAACTTTTTTGTTTGCTTTTCATTTTTATTGTTTAGAGATGGGAACATGTAAACATATAAACTTTCCTCTAAATAATATTTTATCTGTGTACTATGTGTTATTAAAAATACAATGGTTAGCCAACATTTATATTTATTTTTTAAATAAAAATATTATTATATTGAAAAATACCTTTACTAATTTTTACACATTTCACATAAAATTATTTATATTTACAATAGTGGACTTGTTCTAATTTCTTTTATATCTCTGATAGTTTTTTTCACTATCTTTATGGTCCTTTTATTCTAGAAAAGAGACAGTAATTAAATAACTATGTGCATAATAAAACATTTCATTTCTTTCTTTTGTGTTTTTAAATATATTTTTATACATTCAATCACTGCATATCATTACAGCATGCAAAATGAGTGTTTCCAGCATGAATACGCTGTGTATTAGTGCAGTCAGAGATATCGTCATACACATCATCAACAGACCAACATTCAAATATCAGCATGAATTCAATCACTGCATATCATTACAGCATGCAAAATGAGTGTTTCCAGCATGAATACGCTGTGTATTAGTGCAGTCAGAGATATTGTCATACAAATTATCAAGACCATTTCCCATTTTTGTGTCCCTTAAACAATCTGCTGCTTTTCCTCCTCGACTCCCTCCCTCTCACCTTCTCCATTCCCCACCCTTCTCCCCCACAGTCCCTGGTATCCACAATTGCTCTTTATGCTTTGATATTTCTTCTGGTTCTGAGTAGTTTCTAAATCTCAAACGTTGTTTTATATCCTTAAATGTAATTTTGATTTTATTTCATTGCAGTAAGTATCTGTGTGGTCTGTGCCATTTTTGTGCATTTCAATGAAGTCTGACATGTATGAACTTTGAACAACTATAGTCTCTAAATTTTGGTTTCTTTTTAACACAGTCTTAAAGTACTATAATTTTAGATTGTAGTTGTGGATAAACAAAACAAAACAATACCTACTCACTAGCGCAAAACCTGGCTGACACTAACTCTCAATAAATACCAGCTACCATTATGTTTATTAAGCTCACAGAATTTGAAAACATGAAATTTATCTTACAGAAGCTTTATTACTTGTGTATTTTAGATATTCTTGGTCCTGTTTTTTTACTTATCAGCTGAGGAAAACTAATAATGTGCTATTTTGTGAGTTACTGTTCATATTTTCTTTTCTGCTTTCTATCAGTCTACCTATTTTTCTTTTTTTTTTGGAGAGGTTTTTTTGCTATAGGGCGCGTGTGCTCGCCAGACAGACAGAGAGAGACATAGAGACAGAAAGTGAGAAATCACCCCCCAGGTGGGATGGTCACGCAGCAATCCCTTCTCCTCCATTCTCCTCTCGGGATCTTGGGCACACACGCACACGCGCCCGGCGTGAGTTTTAAGCCACCGGGTCCGGGACACGAACCGTGGTCGACTACGTGGGAGTCCAGCGACATAGTCATTACACTAACTACTGGTTCCCAGCCTACCTATTTTGATGTGTAACAATTCATGACTAGCAGGTATCTGTGGATTTTAATCTTTGTTGTGCCATTTTCTGTTGGGCTCTTTTTCTGAAATGAGGGAAGGATGATTTACTAAAGTATTTTATCTTCTAATGTGAGAAGGTCCATGTAATGGAAAATCAGGGCTTGATGAGGAAATAGCAGGCAACTCCCTCAGTCAGCGAGGAAGAGACTGTGAGTTCATTTCCGCAGAGTGTCTGGCTGTTTCCCTTAGCAGCGTCATCAGCCGTGCACATTCTGAGTAAAGGAGCAGACTGGGTGGTCCAAATGACGCTGTCTGCTCCCCACTGTCTGGAGCCAGCACCTGGGGCCAGGGGCAGGCAGGCTGAGTCCTGCTGAGCACTCTCACTGGGCTTCTAGCTGTCTCTTCCTAGGACAGCTGTCACTGGCTCAGAGTTGACACGACCTAATTTTATCTTAATTACCTGTGTAAAGACTGTGTCTCCAATAAAATAACATTCTGAAGTCCTGAGCATTAGCCTTTAAGCACAAAAATTTTGAGGGGGACACAAGTTAGTCCATGAAACTACAGGAAATTGAAGTGAATACCTAGACATTCTGGAATTAGTGTCATTGTCCAGAGCGAAAGGACCTATGCATGCCCTACAGTACTTAAGGAGTAGAGAACCTGCAGCAGGGGCCGGAGCCCGCAGCCTGGGTTCAGACCAGCCTGGACTCCGCTGCACCTCACAGGTCAAACGACAAAGGCTGAATTCTCTGTCCTCTGACACCTTAACAATATGACTGCATTGTTTTGAATCTCAAATTTGGTAGTACAGTACTGCTTGCTTGATTTTTCCGTAAAGGACTCACAAGTTTACATTCTCTGAGTACTAAGATACCTAGCTACATATTTTCTTTCTTTGAAGACCGATGGGTTTTGTGTGGCACTCTGCTCTCCACACCTGTGGGACCAGCTCCCTGTCCAGCTGTGGAGCTTCCCCCCAACCGTGACATTCTGATGTATCCCACACTGTAAATGACCACACACAGGCGTGACAACTGTGCGCTCACGCTCTGCACGGCTCCTACTTTTATTTTTGTGGCTGGGCCATTGGAGATCTACCCAAGAGGCAAGATTCAAGCACCCAATGTATCATTGCTGACTATGGCCTCCATATTTCAGTGTCTCATATGCTCTGCTTCTTTCCCCTGTGAAATTAAGTTTCAGATTCAAGTTATTTCAGGACTTTTTAAAAATTACATTTTTTAATACTTTTGTTTGAAGTGTATAAATTCGCTTTACAAGCTAAGTGATGCATAGCGATCGAATGTATAAAGGAAATTAAAATAACATAAAACATATTAAGAAGAAAAGAATACTTTTATTTATTCAACTCTCATTTTCGATCACGTAAGAGCACTTATGTGCATGCTTCACCTTCCTTCTCGTAATTATTGCCCTTTCTCTGCCCACTCCTCTGCTTACTGTGCATTTCGAGCATGCTTTGCACACCATTGCTGTGTTTGGGGGCTTAGTTTACTTATTGCTGCTTTTAACATTGTAATGTCTCTAAAGATTTCATCATTCCTAGCATTATTTGTCTCATTTAGGCTAGCCCACTTACTAATTACCAGTGATGAACAGATATTATCATTTATCTGCCTTTGACATATTGTTTCTGTGTTTTTGTTTTATTTTGTAACTTCATGCTTAATACTTTGATAGAAGCAGATCATTTGTGTACATGTGTGTACATGAGTGTATGCAGGTGTGCACATTTAAGGAGAGTGCACTAGAGAAATGGGACGAGACCCAGCTCTGACCTTGGTGTGTTTTAGACTACCTCCTCCGGGCACCTCTCTGTGTGTGGACTGTCTTTGAGGCGGGCAGGTTATTATGGGCAGCATCTTCTATTGCCTCTTCATTTCCTCTTCAGATCTTCTTCTGGGAGACAGGAATGGAAGGTGATGTGGTGGCAACACAGTGCTCCTGGGGCCCCTCTGCCGTGTGTGGGTTGCATTCCTGTGGAGTTCTGCTCTACTTCCCATCATTGCCCCTCACTGACTACTATCTGTCACTCTGTTTGTTGTTAGCATTTGTAGGACCCTCTTGTTTAGCTTAAAAATTTATACATTCCCAATGAGAACAGCAGAGAACTAAACTGACTTTCAATCTTCTCCCTAGAGTTTTCCAGTTCCATTATTTTATGCACATGTTCTTCATACATGTGATAAAGCACATGGTCTGATAATCTAGGAATTCCTTGGCTTTAGGATGTATAGAACTTTATTCTTCACTTTTTATAGTTTCCCTATAGTTTCATGATGGCTCGAAAGACTCTAGATAAGCAGACTTTAAATTACATTTAACATTTGCTTTAAATCTAATAATAATTTTATGTCGGGGTGGTAGAATGCGTCAGAGCACCTCAGACATCTCATATTGTCATCTTGTCCCTCGTAGGCAGGAAACGACTGCATCTGAACGAGAACTTCAGCATCAACACGTGAAAAGTAAGTCATTGCTTCATGATACACTTTATGGTAGGAAAGAGTATTAACATCCAGATTGTTGGATATTCTTTTGATTTTATTTTTAAGTTTGAAGAAGATGCTGCTTAGAGTTCTTATTGCCTGATCAAAACTGATGATATTATTCCTTGTATTAGAATAATAGTTCATTTATTTTGAGAGGCACTTTATAAACTTCCATGGGAAGTAACTAAGGAAAATCCTACTCATTTGAATTTATATACTGGTCTTTCAAACAGGAGCACTTTGAATATTAGTTGGTGGTAAAAAATGTAACTTTTTTGAGAGATCTTTTTGCTGTAGGGCATGTGCACTCACTGGAGAGACAGAGAGACAGAAAGTGAGAAATCATCCCCCAGGGATGGCCACACCACAATCTCTCTCCATTCTCCTCTCAGGATTTTGGGCACACCCCCACACGCACCCAGTGTTAGTTTCAAGCGTCCAGATCTGGGATTCAACCCACAGTCGGCCATGTGGGAGTCCAGCACTTTGACCACCATGTCACCTGAAGGCCCCTGGAATTTCTTTTATGCTGTTTTCCATAGTATCCAGGTGTAGTACTCATGTAATTACTCAAAATGGTCAGTTCTGTCTCTGTAGATAGTTCTGTCTAAAGGAGACTCACTGTCTTTTTTTGTTTAAGTTTTACTGGGATATAATTGACATATAAAAATCATACATACTCAAGGCGTACAATGTGACGATCAGGCATTGTACACATTGTTTGAAGACTGTCAAATGAAACTAACTCATACTCGCCGCCATACCTAGTTGCCATTTTGGTTCTAGTACTGCCACTCCACTTAACAAATTTCATGAGCTTTGAAATAAATTTGTTCCATCAAAAATTACTGTGACCATAAATAAAGTAACATATTTAAAAAGCATCATAGTTATCATGTAAGATTATTATATTATACAATTATTTCAACTGAGTGTGTATGTATGTAGTCGTACTAAACCACAGTATAAAGCACATTGCTAACTGTGGGTCATGTTCAAAAAAGTTGAATGCCGGGACCAGCAGTTAGCGTAATGGCTATGTCGCTGGACTCCCACGTAGTCGACCGTGGTTCAAGTCCCGGACCCAGTGGCTTAAACTCACACCGGGCGCGTATGCGTGCGTGCCCAAGATCCCGAGACGAGAGTGGAGGAGAAGGGATTGTGGCGTGGTCATCCCCCCTGCGGGGTGATTTCCTGCTTTCTGTCTCTCTGTCTCTCTCTGTCTGTCTGGCGTGCGCACACGCCCTATAGCAAAAACCTCTCAAAAAAAAAAAAAGTTGAATGCCTATTCAACTAATTTGCCTTTTTTTCCCGAGAGATTTTTGCTATAGGGTGCATGAGCTCACCAGAGAGACAGAGACAGAAAGCAAGAAATCACCTCCCGGGGGAATGGCCACATGGCAGTCCCTCCTCCATTCTCCTCTTGGAATCTTGGGTACACACGCACATGTGCCTGGCATGAGTTTTAAGTCGTTGGGTCTAGGATTCAAACTGTGGTCAACAACATGGCAGTCTAGCAACGTAACCATTATACCATCTGCTGGTGCCTTTTTGCCCATTTTTTAATTGACTTATTCATTTTTTTGCAGGTGAACTGTCTGAGTCCCCTATGGATTCTGACGATCAGTCGTTTGCCTGGGTCTTAATCTGCAGATTTTTCTTCCCTGCTGATAAGTGTCTCTTCACGCTAATCGTTGCTTCCTTTCCTGTGTAGCAGCATTACAGCTTGATAAAATTCCTCTTGTCTGTTTTGGGGATTATTGCCTGTGCTTTAGGGGTCTTATTTCAGAAATCTTTGCCTACTCCAAGAGTTTTTCCTAAGTTTTCTACCAGTAGTTTTATAGTTTGAGACTTTACATTTAATTCTTTGACCCATTTGAGTTGGTTCCTGTTAATGTTTTTTTATTTGATTATCACAGCTTTGTAATGTATTTTGGAGTCAGGAAGTAAGATACCTCCTACTCCACTCTTCTTGTACAGGATTGCTTTGGCAATACGAGGTCTTTTATGACTTCAGATAAATTCTATGATTTTTTTTCTAAGTATGTGAAGACTAGCTCTGTAAATTTGATTAGGATTGCATTAAATTAGTAGATTAATTTGGGTAGGACTTATATTTTGATTATAGTAATTCTTCTAATCCAGGAGCATGGGATGTCTTTCCACTTTTTAGTGTCTTTTTTTGTTTGTTTCTTTTTTTTATTTTTTAGCTTTTTATAGTTTTTATTGTAGAAGTCTCTGAGTTTTTCTGGTAGGTTTGTTGCTAGATATGTTACACTTTTTGTGGCTAGTATAAAGGGGATTGTTTTCGGGAACCAGCAGTTAGCGTAATGGCTATGTCGCTGGACTCCCACATAGTCGACCGCGGTTCGTGTCCCGGACCCGGTGGCTTAAAAACTCACGCCGGGCGCATGTGCGTGCGTGCCCAAGATCCCGAGAGGAGAATGGAGGAGAAGGGATTGTGGCGTGACCATCCCCCCTGGGGGGTGATTTCTCGCTTTCTGTCTCTATGTCTCTCTCTGTCTGTCTGGCGAGCGCACGCGCCCTACAGTGAAAATCTCTCCCCCCCCCAAAAAAAAAACTCAAAAAAAAAAAAAGGGGATTGTTTTCTTCAATTCTACTCAGTCTGCTTCTTGTTCATGGATAGAAATGCTATAGATGTTTATACGTAGATTTTGTATCCTGCTACTTTACTATATTCATTTAAGCCTACCAGGAGTTTTCTGTGGATTCTTTTGGATTTTCTATGTATATAATCACATCAGCTGCAAATATAGTTTCACTTCTTCTTCCTTATCTGAATGCTTTTTATTTTAGTCTCTTGTCTGATTGCATTGGCTAGGACTTCCAGTACTGTATTGAGAAGGAGTGGAGAAAGTGGGCAGCCTTGTCTTGTTTCAGTTTTCAGTGGAAAAGCTTTGAGCTTTTCCCCATTCAGTATGATGTTAGCTATGTGTTTTTCACATATGGCTGTTATTGTGTTGAGAAATGTCCCTTCTATGTCAATTTTGCTGAGAATCTTAATAATTAAGGGTTGTTGTATTTTATAAAATGCTTTCTCTGCATTGATTGATATGATCATATGATTTTTATCCCTCTTTATGATAAAACATGGTGTATTACATTTATGGTTTTGTATACGTTGAGTCCTCCTTGCATCCAAAGAATAAAGCCTACCTGGTTGTGATGTATAATCTTTGTAATGTGTCATTGGATATGATTTGCTAGCATCTTGTCGAGAATTTTGCATCTGTGTTCATCAGGGATATTGGTCTGTAGTTTTCATTTTTTGTAATGTCTTTGTCTGTTTCGGGGATGAGGGTGATGGAGGGAGGCTTCATAAAATGAATTTGGGAGGGTTCCTTCCTTTTGGATCTTTAGAAATAGTTTGAGTAGAATGGGGGTTAACTCTTCTTTAAAAGTTTTATAGAATTCAGAAATGAAGTCATCAGGACCTGAGCTTTTCTCTTTTGGGAAGTTATTTATTACTGACTCAATTTCATACCATACCTGACAATATTATCCTTCAAATGGGAATAAAAAATAAAATCATTTTTCAGACAAGTAAAAACTGAAAGAATTTACTAATTCTACACCAGCTCTTTAAGACCAAAGGGAGTACTATATCAGGAAAGCTAAAGATAGACAAACAGAAATTAAAGAACAAAAAACAACCAAGAAAAATGTTTAACAAAATGGCAGGGTCACATTTGAAAATGTTGATAATAATTTGAATATTAATGGATTAAATTCTCTAGTCAAAAGACACAGATTGTATGAGTGGATGAAAACCCAGAAGCCCTCTATTTGGTGCCAACAAGAATGGCACCTCTTGGAAAAGGACATGAAGACACTAAAGTGGAGAACTGGAAAAATATACTTCATGCAAATGGAAATCAAAAAAAGGCTAGAGTCATGATATCAGACATAATAGCTTTTTTTTTTTTAAGAGGATTTTGCTAGCCAGACAGACAGAGAGAGACAGAGAGATAGAAAGTGAGAAATCACTCCCCAGAGGAGATGGCCATGCCACAATCCCTTCTCCTCCATTCTCCTCTTGGGATCTTGGACACGCACGCACATATGCCCGGCATGAGTTTAAGCCACCGGGTCCGGGACGCAAACTGCGGTCGACTACGTGGGAGTCCAGTGACATAGCCATTATGCTAACTGCTGGTCCCAGACATAATAGCTTTAAGACAGAAACGGTAAGAAGAGACAAAGAAGGACATTATATAGTACTGCCAGGGCTAATTCACCAGGAAGTACAACACAGACAAATCTCCCATGCTGATGATTGTCTCTTCACTCTAATTGATGTTTCCTTTCCCTGTGTAGCCACATTTCAGCTTGATATAACTCCTCTTGTCTGTTTTGGGATTATTGCGTGTGTTTTAGGGGTCTTATTTCAGAAATCTCTGCCTACTCCAATCCTGGAACACCCAAAAACATGAAAGAAAAATGACTTGATCTAAAGGGAAAGAAAGACTACAACCCAATAATCCTCGGGGGCGGGGGGGGTCTCAACATCCCACTGTTTCCTCTGGACAGACTGTCCAGACAAAAAATAAGCAAAGAGATAAAGGATCTAAATGACACCGTAGATGAGATGGACTTGACAGACATCTATAGACCTTTCCACCTAACCACAGTATATATTTTTCTTACCCCTGCATGGAACCTTTTTGATGCTTGACCACATGATAAGGCACAAAACCAGCCTTTACAGATTCAAAGGCACAGAAACTATACCCAGCATATTTTTTTTCTTACCCCTGCATGGAACCTTTTTGATGCTTGACCACATGATAAGGCACAAAACCAGCCTTTACAGATTCAAAGGCACAGAAACTATACCCAGCATATTTTCAGACCCTGATGGAATTAAACTTGAAATTATTTTCCAAAAAAAAAAAAAAAGCCTTGAAAATACACAAACATATGAAAATTAAACAACCTACTCCTGGGGGCCAGCAGGTGGCATGATGGTTGAGACGCTGGATTCCCACATTGCTGACCATGGTTTGAGTCCTGAACCTGGTGGCTAGCTTTCTCACCTCCCCCCCCCCTCTGGTCAAATTAAATAATAATGATAATGAATAAGATCAAATAAGTAATTATTTTAAAAAAACAACAAACTACTTCTGAAAGACTTCACGACCACTGAAGAATTAAGACTGAAATCAAAAGATTAATTGAGACCAGGGATAATGAGTACATGAGTTTCCAGAATCTATGGACACAATGCAAACAGTCACAAAGGAGAGCTCATGGAAATCAGTGCACAGAGGAGAAAGGTGGAAAGGTGGCACGTGGACAACCTAACGACACACCTCAGGGACCTGGAAAAACAACCACCCCCCAAACAAAAACAAAAAAGAAATGCCAGGAGAAAATAAATAATAAAGATCTGAGCAGAAATAAATGGAATAGAGAATAAATAAATAATACCAAAAATAAATGAAACCAAAAGCTGTTTTTTTCAGAAGATAAAATTGACCCACAATTAATTAGACTAATAAGAACAGAAAAAGGAACTAGATAAATCAAATTTGCAATGAAACAGGCACTATTACAAGAAGTATGACAGAGATACAAAAGATCGCTAGGAAATACTGTGAGTGACTATATGCCAACAAACAAGAAAACCTGGATGAGCTGGACACATTTCTGGACACCTACAATCTTCCAAGACTGAGTGAGAAAGACATAGAAAGCCCAAATAGACCCAAGGAGACACTTCCAAGGCAGTTTTCTTGGTCCTTTGCTCCGTCCTTTAACCACAAACTTATGGTCTTGATTGTATCGTGCTTTCTGTTTATGTGATCTGAAAGAACTAGATCAGAAGTCAGACTTTCCATTCTTGTCTTCCCATGATGGTCTGCCAGGCAGGTCTTAAGACTGACCTCTTTAATTGAGGCGATTACAGGTGAACCTTTTGCCATCTGTGCTGGGGAACCACTTTTGTCGCACCATTTTTACGGCAGGTGGTATGTGCTTGACCTCTAAACCAACTGGCCTCCAACGGCACGAAGCCCAGGCGCTCCTGCCCTCGCAGTCCTTTCTATGTTCTATGGTACCAGCTGCTGCAGTTCAGTCATGATTGTTGGGCCAAACTGCAGAAAAGACGTTTCGGACTACTAATGACTTACACGTCATAACAGGGTTACCAGGTTTACTAAAAAACAAGTTACACTTGCATTTAAGAAAATACTGCATGTTTGCTAATGGGTATTTCAGATCTGGAGAAAAGTTCTTTGCCATTTTAGCAGACTGCATTGACGCTAGCATTCACTACGGTTACTGTAACACCCTAAGGCTCCCACGTGTGTAATTTAACTATGGTAGAAGGAATAAGGCCTCCAAATATATCCGCGTTTGCACCTCAAGAGCCTGTGAATTTTTTTGTTGTTTCTTTTTGACAAAAGAGACTTTTCAGGAGTGATTAAGTTAGAGATCTTGAGGTGAGAGGTTTTCCTGGATAATCCAGGTGAGCAAAATCAAATTACGAAAGTCTTCAAAAGGTGGAGAAAGGACAAAGAAGAGACAGTGTCAGAGTGGCGTAGCAGGAGGAACCTCAGCCAGCCATCACGGGTCTTCATCCCTCACACTGCCGGTGAGGGCGGCTGCTGTGGTCTAAGGAAAGAGGGAAGCCTCAGGATGCTGAAAAAGGCAGCGTGCTCCATGTTTTAACCTGAGACCTAGCGTGATAGTCCCTGAATTCACTTCAGCAGTGGCAACCACTTCACCCAGTTGTCTAAGTTCTTTGTGCCCTTCACACTGACAACTGGCTAATCAAGTTGTATTCGGGCTTCATCATTTTCCTAGTTTATGACCAAAACAATGTGAAGCAGAACATAATTGTTTAATTACTACATATGGTTACATTTACAAGGACATATATGATTAGATGGAAAAATACGTTGTTTTATATTTGAAATCAGTGTGTTGAATATGACTTTTTGTGAAGAAAAATTGCTATTAGAAATTCTTGGTTTCTCTTGTTTTACACAACCTGTTTAGCTAGTTTAAGATGGTCTAAGGTTCTGCTAAGAATCTCTATCAAGATTATTCGGTTTATACAAGAAGTAAACAAATTTCTTCTTTTAAAAAGGGATGGTTGCCATCTTTAGCATTCTCTTATCTCCCTGATGTTCTAGCTCATGATCACTTTAGTATTCACAAGTGCAATCAACCCAAATCTGTATATTTGTATTTAATTTGAAGAAATTATTATTTCTATGCCTAAGTCTATCATGACTATTTATATTTAAGGCTTACATGATTTTCCTATGAAAATCTTTATGGAACTCATGTCTTAAATTTACAACCATAATCATTCCTTAGTCGTTCCCGTATTTCATTGTCATGACATGCTGTGGACAATATTGTGTCACCAAATTCCAAACCTACTCAGCAGACTTGATGTCTCATTTACGAAGCAAGCCTCGTGGAGATGCTAGCCCAGGGCACTGTCCTTCCCGAGCTTGTCATCCAGCCTGGGGAGCTTCAACAGCAAGTGGGAGTATGCCAGATATTTAAAGAATCCGTCTTTGGCAGTGTTTTTAGTATGTTCCATCTCTTTTCTTTTTCTTTTCCTTGAACCTGTAATGGTCCAGAAGTCTCACAATGCTTTCCTCTTTTTTTTTTTTTTTTTTTTTTCCTCCAGGTCAAGAAATTTCATCCAGTTCTAATCAGGTAATGAAACAGTCAAACAAACAAATGAAACATCTGAACAAACCTTCATTACTTTGAAAAATGTCAAAAAATAGATTATTTTTATTCAAGTGTAGCATCCATCTTCTTTTAGTTAAAATTTCAAATATACTTTAAAAATCTTTCGAATTTTAAATAATTTAGTTGGTAATTTTAATGCAGGAATAAAAAATTAAAAAATTTAAAAGTATTTTAATTAATCTAGATAATTCAAAAATTCTTGTGGCGATCCCAATTCTGCTGTCTTGTAATTTTACATTTCAAAGTTATAACAAAGGCAGATGAAATCAAGTAAATTTACACCTAATCTGACTATCACAAGACATGAACTCTTTTTAGTTTTCCACATTTTTACCAGTCCTTATGTCCAAGAACGAGCATTTATATTTACGAACATGGTGGACATCAACAACATGGGAACATTTTTTTCTTGTAATATTATACCATGAGCATTTTATTGATTTAATTAGAATACATCATTGTTTTAATTTTTCTCTCTTTCATACTCTGTGAAATTAAAATGGCTTGAAGTCTAGGGACCAGCAGTTAGCATAATGGCTATGTCCCTAAACTCCCATGTAGTCCCGGACCTGTTGGCTTAAACTTACACCAGGCGCGTGTGTGTGTGCCCAAGATCCCGAGAGGAGAATGGAGGAGAAGGGATTGCAGTGTGGCCATCCCCGCTGGGGGGTGATTTCTCGCTTTCTGTCTCTGTCTCTTTCTAGAGAGCACACACGCCCTCTAGCAAAAACCTCTCCAAAAAAATGGCTTGAAGTCTAGACTTTATTTTATCTTATAAAATGTGTTGCACGTGGCTAGGGTAATTACTTATTGAGGTCAGACTGGTACGCATGTCGCTTCTCCGCGTGGGACCTAAGCATGGAAGTGCTTTCTCCAGAGAGCGCCCTTCTCCCTCCCTGTGGTGGAAGCGGCAGCAGAATGGGCCCTCCCGTGGAACAGTTTGTGCCCAGACAGGCTTGAGGCCCCGGCCTGAGCCAGGCCCGGCTGACCCGCTGCCCCCCTCTGCGGCAGGACGCCCCGGACGGCAGCTCGGAGGAGGTGTGCTACACGGTCATCAGCCACAGCCCGCCGCGCACGCCCTCGCGCAGCTCCAGCGACCCGGCCTACGAGAACGTGGGCGCCGGGAGGGCG